ATCTTAACCCTTTCTGGGCGTTGCATATGTCCGCACAAGTGCTGTAAATGGGTATAACATTCAGGAATATATTAGCAACGTCAATTGCTTTAAAAGAAGTAAATTTTATGAAATGCTAGTAAAAAGTTTATGCCAATCAAATAATTTCCAACAGTCTTGCTAATAAAAAATGTTGCTCATAAAGTTATTATTAATGCACAATATGTCAACATGTAATTAAATTATTTATATGATTTTTTCTTAAAACACAAAATGGAAAAAAGTTCGTGAATGCATCATCATCAGCTACGGTAGCATCATCACTTTGTAGATGAATTTGTTTTTCTTTATGAAAAGGGAAAGTTAAGCATTTTTTTTTTTCGTTTTATTATTATTATTTTATTTTATATACGTTAACGCAATTAGCCCACTAACGTTGATGATGAGGCTTATGATGAGGAAACATGAAAAAAGTTTACAAATATGTTATAAAAACAAACGAAAAAGTCGACTTTGACCAACTCTTACAACTGCCCATACGTATGCATATCTTGATGCATACGCACATGAACACAATCTTGTGTAATTCAAACCTATATTTAAGTGAAGAGCAACATCGTTGTAAGCAACTTCGCCATGGAAGGCCTTCTTTAAAATTATAGTAATTTAGTGGACAAGTTTATGCCGAGTCATTTGTGTGTGTGTATAGGGAGTGCTATACATATATATATGTATACATGCATATAAACATACTTATCTGCTTCTCTTCTTGTCCTACATCAATCTATCGAGATCATGTTTACCTAAAAGAAAATAACAAACGTTTTCATCAATTTCTATACCCTTCACCCTCAGTATGAGGGCATTTTAGTTTCTTCAAAACGTCTGCAATCCGCAGAAAGAGGCTTCGAGGACCTTTGAAAGAGCTTGTATTCTTGATCAGCTTTGAATTGTGAATATTATCCAGGCATGCTTGGCTGCTTGCCTATATGTACGAAACATTCCACCGATCGTCATCGGCTACAAATTTTTCTAAAGATATTAGAAATTGTTGTTATTGCGGGTATTGAAAATGAGTCATATCGTTTAAAGGTCATGCCTACATAAGTTGGGAACGCCGTTGCTTTCTACGTTCTTTTTCGCCGTTATTCAAACTTAAACGATCCTAAACTAACTGTACAAAAAGGAAATAAACGGCCATTTCCATCCAACGCTATAGAGTATTATAGTTCATTTTTGTCCAAAAGTAAGTTAGGTAGTTGGCATAGGTGAACACAATTTGCTTTACTTTTTTTTCATTGACTAACGGCAGCTCATCATTTTACTCTTACGATCATCTCAGAAAGTAAACTTGATGCTTGATATGTTGAGTGTATAATAAAAAAAAAAAGGTATAAACAAAGTGCCGGGCGAAGTGACATTTTCAATATATAATCGATAATACTTCGTAATTTGCACCAGATATTTATCTTAGCATTAACAAAAGTCCCTTTGAAGCGATGATCAAAACTCATTTAAAGACGAATACAACTCACTTACTTGCCTCGAGAAGGCGGGCACTTTTGTGTAGGTCGAACAAGCGGAAATGGAATCAAGCTCTTTTACTACAGGTTTACCTATCAAAAAGTCGTTAAAATATACATAAAGAATTAAATCTTTTATTATCAGTCTTTAGGGTTTAATTCATTGAGTTGTACGTTTACTAAAAGCACATAAAAAAAAAACGTTTTTTTTTTTTGGTTTTAAAGCTAACATCGTTATCGTAATCATTAGTTGCTGCAACGTCATGGTGTTTACCACCGATCATGTACACACATTTACACTCGTATACATTGAAGCTTCGATGGTAGAATAACGTGCGGCTAGTTTTTGTGTTTTTCGAGAGATAAAAAGAAAAAAAAAGTGAAAGTCTATAAACTGAATTAGTTTATAAGATATTTATTACGAGATGCCATTGGAGAAAAAAATAACCTTAACCGCATATATTAATCAATTCAAAATACCACCGCTGGATGTGAAATTATGGATGGAAAATAAAAATGAAAATTAAGAGGAAAAAAAAATAAAAATAATAATGCGGTCTAGTGTAAATTATCGTGAAAGAGAAGAAGACGAAAACGAAAACGAAATATGTCGTCACAGTTTAAAAGAAACATCTCGTTGTTTAAGCAAAAGCTGCAGAACGAGAATGCAGATGAAAATCTTCATAACGATAATGCCGATGAAATAATAATGATAATAAAAATAATAATGATAATAATAACAACAACACCGCGATTGAGAAAACTTTCACCGAATCGGTTTCATTGAAAGCCGTTTAAATTCCTTAGTTAACAGCAAATCAATATATATTTATATATATATTTATATATATGTATGTCATTATAAATCCATGGATACGCGCGCGGGGCGATGTAGTAGTGGCAGTAGTGACTATGGTAGGCAGTAATGATGTGAATGAAATAACATTGAACTGGTTTTTGTCGCTTTCAACTTTAATTATGATTATGAAATTATAAAAGACCTAAGCCCGAAAGCCGGAAAAAGGTTATAACAAATCAACGGTTGCGAAAACGATAAAAAGAAATTCAGAAATTTTCGATTTTTTTCTCTCTCTCCCTCTACACAAACAGGACATCGCATGATAAGCCATAGTACCTGAAATATATCCGTTTACCTCACTAGATGTCCACAGCGTAGACAGCGCATGGAGTATTTTTTTTTTTTTTTTTTTATTATTATATAATAAATAAGTAAAAACTATTAATAAATAATTAAAATGAAGACAAATGCTTTTGTTGCATTAAATGCATTCTAAGTTTTTGGTTTGGTCTCACTTAATCTTGCGGCCACCCCCTGTACGCTAGGGGCTGAGAATTCCATATCCCAGTATCCGATTTGTTGTGCAATGTTTCACTTAAAACATTGATAATACCGCTGCTACTGCGTCGTCGTCGTCGTCGTCGATGATGATGACCGTCAGCTGTTAAATACTGAACGCTATGACTGGATTCATGGCCGTGGGACATTAGCGACTTCATGCCGATTATGCCGGCCAGTACAAGAGCTGTCATAGCAACACCTAAAGCTTTCATAGCTAAAGCGCCCACTCCACCTATACCCATAACAGCCATCATTTTTGAAAACATTACTGCCATCATCATCATTGCTCCTTGTCCTTTATCCTTTTTCCGGGCTTCTGCGGAATACACATTGAAAGGGAAAAATATAAATTCGTTCGCATCTTGATTAGTTGTCGCTTTTAGGCATCTGCGATGCCTAAGAAAGCTATATTCTCCCTAAGGCGCGTTTACGGTAAATGTGTTTACGTGTATTAGCGAATTAATTTTCCATCTATATCTAAGTATGTATGTAGCATTTGTAAGTGCGACATTATGTTTTCGGAGAAGACAGTTTTTCGGTAGCAACAAATGTTCGTAAAAAACATATCGATCAATAATTGGCGGGACGTGTTAATGACTTTGCAGCGCTGGGAAAATGGCATAAATGGATTGAATCGGACTCACTGCCATCACGTTTTGTCCATATCTTGACAGCGGCAGCTGTTATTCATTTGGGAATTGAAAACAAACGCACGCTCCGAGGCAGAAGCCTTTAATTCAAACGATGAGATGATTGTCGAAACGGAAGCATATTTTTTTTAATGGCTTCCCATAAAAAAAAGCAGGGGATGGTTGGAGAGGCGTCTCGGACGTGTTTCATTACCACTGAAGGTGACAATGTTGACCACAAAAACGAATTTTACCAAAAAAAGGAAAAAATACTTTTTCTTCCGAAATCTAAACTGGACTAAAACTCTGCTGATCCAGGTGCATATGATTGTATGACATCCAATGCACATTCTGTTGTTCATTAAATTTTAAAAGTCAATAGAAGTTTACCTATTATGTTACATTTATCGCTGCACAATCAGGCTAAGAAGACATTTTTAATTGCCTACTACACAACCATATGATTCTGGAGGAATTGTTTGCCTGAGAATTTTAAGTAGAAATTGCGAGGCATTTCTTAATCCACTGTGATGTTCAAGCATCGTTCTCGTCGTACGTCCACTGCAGTGTGCAGGACAAGAAATCTCGTCTAATCTAATCTAAGAGAATTCTAAATCCAAGGTCAGGAGGCACTCTGTAGGAATTTAGAATTTTTTAAATCAACGGACCTATTACCGCCTGTCACACACACATTAATTATGGTGTTGGACTGCGTGATAGAAAAACGATCGCTGCACTCAAGGTATCAATAGTATATCGGAAGTATCGCAGATGGAAATCAAGCTGGGGGCCAAGTGTTATGCTCCCGGAGAACATACAGGGAAACAGGATAACACTTGGCATTTTACCACGCAAGCACACATACATACATGTACCTCCTGGTTTTGCTCACATATATTTCTACGAATTATAAGCATTTGATTGGTAAAGAGCTAATATATTCCATGCAGTAAGTGGACAGTCTCTTCAGTCAGAGAAGATGTTATCCTCAGTACTACTTTATGCCGAATAATAACAACCATCGCATCGCAAATCATAAACAAAAGTTTACCTGAGGTACTTGCTGACGAGACTGAATCGTATTTGGCACGTGATCTCTGGCAAAACCATCTCACGAAATTGAATGCTTCAATGTCAGCAAGTAGTTCCGAAAATTTGATATTCAACTCATGCGTTCGCAGGTAAGCAGAAAAGCGGCCAACAAGTGTGTCGTCTTTATCGTTGACACCATTGTCGACATTGCCGGCATTGACATAATTTGTATTTATATCGTCCGTCGCATCCGTAGAGCTACGCGATGGTACAATTTCCAAGCCGCGTACAATGACGATTGGTTTGTTCGTTTTGTTAAGATTGTAGATGATGTTGCGCACGGCACGCATTCCACGGCAGTATAATGACATTTCTATCGAGCTTGCGCTGCACTCTGCCGTTCGATTAATCTTATCCCCCGTTGAGGTGGCTTCTGTGCAAGACATTAACACATGTATCGTTGTTAAAATGATCACAAAATAAGAACAATTCAACCGTGACATAGTAAAAGTAAAGCGAATTTTTTTTTTTTGATCGAATCAAGAATGCAGCAGCGGTTGATGTTATTGTTGTCGGATCTTGTTACAGTTTACAACTAGTTTCAAGCAGCAAGTGCATGACTTATTTTATACTCTTGTTAATGGACTAATTTCTATTTTCTTGGCAAATGCACAGAAATGAAAATGGCCACCTTTCCCTTTCCTTTAATTATTATTTGTAGCAATTTTCATTACCGGTAGAAATTGGTTGCTTTTGTTTCGATATCACTAGGCGTTTCGGTTGCATTGTTGTTCGCCTTTCTAACTCATAAGGCAAAAAATCTGCAAAACTATGCTGCTGTCACTATGCTTCACTTCAATTGAATTGTTTTACTGCTAGTGTTGCCACTGCTAGTGATTATGGCAATTGGGAGGAGGGGACTACGGCATGCTATTCGACATACATTGTATACCTACTTATTTCTCTAAAAATATAATCGTGTATGTGTAGACTTTAAAAATAATTTTCATGGTCAGTTGAATATGCAGCATAAAATGACTCAATTCACTTAAGTACAAAACATTTCAATGCATGTTCTCCATTATTTACAAATAAAAATTAAATGCGTTCATACATATATATATATATATATATATATATAAGGATGTATTTCACATAGCAAATCTCTCTTACCTCAGGAGTTATTTTACTTTTCAAATTAAATAAATTTCTAAATCTCTAGCAGAATTACGTTGAAACGCACCTGAGCGTGATTACCGATATAAGCACAAGAATGCTTCAGCTACTAATTGTGCGGAAAGTAGCAGAAGTATATCCATTAAATGAATGTCAGACTAGGCTAATGCCTAATGATTGCCGTTGAAAAAAGATAAATAGATTTTCAAGTTTACTTTCCATACCTTAAGTGCATGCATGTTCTCTGGAAGGCTGTTCTGCATTACAAACTTCGTCTGTAGAGAAATTTCTTGCCTGCTAAGAGTTCATCAAGGAGTCGCCTGAACAATTGTAATGAATTTCAATGTTTACAAACACAAACACCCTGACACACACCTATTTACATTTCATTGAGATAAGATAAGATAAGAAAAGGCAGCCTGGAAGTAAACCTCGCCACTTAATGTCCAATTAGGAACATAAGCGTTCGAATTTAACATTTAACTGCTGGGCATCTCTGTCTATCTGCTCACGCAGATAGTCTACACTGATTAGGATCGTTTACTAATGGATCGGTGTCGAGATTTAATTACCCCATTTATGAAGCCTTTGCAATAAATGAAGTGATTTAAGTCATCCATTTAATCATTTCATAACAATAATTTTTTCATTTGCGATCGCACTTGATCAATATCACCGCTTTCCGGCCATCTTTTAAAACAATTCTTCAACTTATAATAAAAATATGCTTGATGAGCATATTAAATCGAGAACAGAATTGATGTAAATAGATTTGGCTTTCATGCTGGGTAAATTGAAATTTCTCCAACGTTCACATTAAAGTTAACATTAAAAACTTAAATATACATACATATATCCACATATCGCTTTAACTTTTCATTTCTTTCCATGTTTTCATGATTAGCATGCTTCGATGTAAAGGTCGTTCACTTGACCAACAACAACATTTTCGTCATCATTACCATCATCATAATCATTATCGTAATTTTTTTTTATTTACCCATTATTGTAACTTTAGCGATAGTTTTTCATTTTCAATACTGAGTGAAAAGAGTTTTGCGTGTGTTCATGGAGGAGTTTGTTCTTCTTATCATTTCGTGGTAAGATGATAAATTTGCCGCCTAAATTGTTTGCTAGTTTGAAAAGTGCGCAGAGCGTCTAGAGCTGCAGAGAAAAAACTTTCGCTTTCCATTCAACACGCACTTGAAATAGTTATCGCCTCATTAATAGTGTTTTTTTTTTTTTTTTTTTTTCTTCATGTCAACCACTGAATGATGGAAGCATATTGAATTCGTCCTTATGTTTGTCGCGTACAGAAATACGCATCAGAGACATCGTAATCTATGTAGATACTGCATCCCATCGATGTCTGTTGTTGGTAGTCTAACAATCGTAAAAAGGTTGACGCTTTGCAAATGGTTGGTGATCAGTCAAGTTTCATCTGCAATGAATTCACGATCACCTCTAATGACCAGACCTTCTACTAAACAAACAACACGCAATGTAACGCACAAAGATTACAGATATATAGAAAAAATGATGCAAATAATTTCCAGAGACGATCACAATTAAAGAATTTTATCTGCATTTTTTTGTAGTTGAATTCTACATTTCCATTTTGATATTTGCTGTCCGAGACTTGTTTACTTGTATTAAGAATCGATACGTGTACTATATGGGAAGCAAAGCAAAATCGCGATGCAAAAATTTTCAAACGAACAGCGAAGGTGTTTTTGTGTTTGTAGCAACTATAAAAGTGGACGGACATGCAAACTCGATGCCCAAGTAAATGCATTTCTTGTTTGTGTGTGTAAGTCTTCAAAAAATCGAATATACATTGCCTGCATGTAGCATTCGAAACTAATTTTCTTTACGCACTTCACATATATATTACGCTAATTTATTAAATATAATAAGGAATTTTAAGTTTAAAATTACAAAACAAAGACGAAATTAATATATTCGGCGGAGGCGATCAGTGAAACTTAACCATAATATTTTTTTTTTTTTTCATATTTAAGTGCTTCATGCGTCTAACACGTTACGCATGATTAACAAGTACAAGAAATAACAATCGGCTTTGGTCGACTTTCGCACGTCGACCCACCCACCCATCCCAACAAATCACAGAAATACGTAAAGCATTCTATTATATATCATTCGTATAGCCCAGTGATAAGGTAGTGCCAAGAACGTGTCGGGGATCATTTTAGCGCTGAGTTTTAACAAATGCTCCCAAAGTATTTCTAGCGAGTTTAAGATCGATACCTCCTCCAGGTTGTAAGTTGAAGACAACGATATTTTAAGGCTTCGTTTTTTTTTTTTTTTTTTTTTTTTTTGTAGGTGCATTTACACCTTTTCTTGGCATGCCTTTGAGGTGATTATGGTCACATTCACACTTACTTCGCGTACTTTAACTGGGTGTGTGTGCGAGTATAAGCAAACTTTAAGTTTCTTTTTACAACCTGACATTGCCACGAAAGGCGGACATGATTCAATTAAAGCAGAATCTCACTCTGTAATTGTTACATCTTGGGATATCGCACAAAGACATGGCAGAGCGAACGTACTTTCTCGTTTAGTGTTTGATACACAAGCTTTATAACTTTGCATAATAACATATCGAACAGTACTAGCAAGTAGTACTTTTTTGTCGACAATTTTGCTTCCATTCAATATCGCTTTGATACATGCTGCTTGCCTAGCTATTATGTTTTATTTCATTTCAAAAACTTCATCTAAACTGTAGAAGCGTTCTGAAAGCAAATGATGCGAATTTTCGAACGCTTTAAAGTCAACGCCTAAATGTGGGCTTTAAAAAACATTTCGTACATTCCTTAAAGCCATTGTTTGCGATGGTGTTTAGTTGCAAGTTTGATCACTAAACATTGGTTAGAATCATTTATAGATAAACTACGATTATCTACTCTTTCCTCATACTAAAATTTAAGACTTAACATCCCCTCCATTCATTGTGTTCACTATTCATTGCTTCATTTACGGCAACATCTCTCTTGCAACTTGTGCTTACCGCAGCCAACATTCACAGGCTACCACAGATATTGATAACATCTTTGACATGAGATGTGAAACATTAGAGAGAATGTTTTGCAGTCGATTCCAATACTAAGAAGAAATATGCTGCGGCCTACGTTGAAGTAAATCGTTAGAATTGCTTTACTGGGTGAAAGAACTTTTCATAGCAAATTTAAGTTTCTACTGCTATTATTCTGTTGCTTATGCTTTGCTCCCTCCACCAAGAACAGGCGTAATTTCAAGCTTCAGGCTTTTCTCAATTTATGTGGAAACAAATAACACTTATTGCTGCTTCGCTCTTCTAAATATTGATAGCTAAAGTAGCTTTTATAGAATTTTTATTTAAAAGATCATGCAATTTTTTTCGATACACATACACAAGTTTGTATACAAGTAAACAAGAGCATTCAATAGTCCATTTAGTCGAAATATGTTCTACTCTATGTAGATACTCAACCATGTCGAGGCGTGGCAAATTATGGTTTGATTGTGTGCAAGATCCAAGCGGTGTATTTGTCAACCTTGGTGTACACGCTAGGGAAATCCTCTAAACCACAATTTTTGGAACCAAATGAAACGATACCCGCTAATATATAAACTGTAGTTGATCTGCTTGAGAGCAAACAAAAAAAGAAAGAATAATCATTCCTTTATGTACTTGTTCTTAAAAAAATTAAACGAGTACGCACTTTTTGACCGTTTGTGTCGTAATCAACGGGCCACCAGAATCGCCCTGACAAGAATCGCTACCTCCGTCTCCAACAGCACAAATTTGCGAATCCGTCAAGGTAACATACTTCCTTCGGTAAAATCGCTTACATCTTTCGGCACCAACTCCAACCACGGAAGCTTTCATTTTAATTGTATTTTCTTTCGAGTTTTCATCTCGACCCCAGCCTATAACAGCCATTCTTGTTCCGTCGTATGTAATTTTATTGCTTTCAGCACTTCGAGGTAAGCATATCGGACTTATAAAATCATTATATCTAATGTTGCGTTCTAGACGTAAGAGACCGATATCGTTGATTGAATTTTTTGAATTCGGTTTATATAGGGGATGAGGTACAGCATGCTCGATCATTACAATAATATGTTTAGGAGCACAAAAAGCTTCACCATATGCATTTAAAATACAATCTGGATTTGTGCTGGTATCCCATTCACCCAGACGAACGCTGCTTAAACCCAAGTCTAAATGACTTTCCAGACAATGTGCGGCCGTAATGACATAACGGTGATTAATTAAAGATCCCACACAAAGATGACGCTTTTCTTTGGCTATATTTTTCGTAATGAAGGCATTTAAAGCAAAAAACTGTCCATATACAAATTCACATCCTTACCGTTAGTGTATTCAAGCAAAGCCATCCAAGGGTACTCTTTTAAATAAGCCTTCTCGCCATGAGTTATACGAGCAATGAGACTTTTCGATTGAGTGCACTCCGCAAAGCGAGGCAGAAGTTCTTCTCCATACCTTCGATAAGATGGTTTCTTAGCAGAGGCAAAATGCAACCAAAAGGGTTTAGATACCGCGTCTTTAGTTAGTTGAGCAACCTCATGCTCGTGTATGTCCGGCTTGACGAAACCTGTAAAATTTATTTCAAATTATTTATGGTCTAGTTACTTAGCTAATGTACATATTAGAGCTTGTGCGCCAGTTTTCTGAATTTACAAAAGGAATACTTACGAGCCGCTTCCAAATTATTTAAATGAGCTCCTTCTGTGCAGACCTTGAAACAAATAAAGGATAATGCAATAAATTTCAACATATCTTCTGACGGCTTCAAGCACAATACTAATCCTCTTTCGCTATCGTTTACTTCTATTTAAATTAAACGAATTTTATACCTGTTGGCCGCTTCAAAAAATAAATGCAATTATTGGGAAAGCTAAAGTGCTTTGCTTTTCTTGCAATCCTTCCCTTATTTTGTGCTGTTCTCATGAAAATGTGCTCGTTGTGTGTAACGTTCTTTAAAGTGGTTTTCCCGCCTAAACATTTAGTCAATGAATTAACTTCTATTTGCTGTCGTTTTTGACTTTTTCTTTTTTTTTTCTTATTACAGAAGCTGTACACATCACCGTAAATGTTGTTTTCATGTTTTCATGGTAACTTCATGTAGTAGTCATCTATACACTTACAAGACTTGGTAAGTTATGTCACACTTTCTATTATTGAGCTTAACGATAATCATTTTTAAATAATGAATCAGTAGCAAAGCAAGATGTCCTGAAACCTCGATTGGATATCTTAGCTTCTTCGGTTCGGTAAATTTGCTTTTTAACTTTTTCCATTAGTGTGTTTTTACGGCATGCTACTAATACGATTAGGTGCATGTCCTGCACTGGATAATTTCGTGAACTCATCATCAAACGCATTGTAACAGAGCTTCTTTCAAGAGAGTAGTTTGTTGTTTTTAGTTCGACGTATTTATCCTTAGTTTTAGAGCAGCTTTGGAGAGAGAAGAAGATCTAAAATCCAAGTGGAGTAAAAAAAATCGATTAAATTAAGAGGAAAATTAAATATCTGTTCGTCTACATTATTATCTTTCTGTTCTCATAAATTCCGTGATTAAATAAAACTTTTATTTTCTGACCGTTTTCTTTTGTTTATTTGCTTGAGTCATCGCATAAACGAAATAACATTATTAACAACAAATGTTATACAAATATTTCAATCGCATTTTTCGCAATTAACACTATAACGGGCACAAATTGTTATTCGTCTTCAGTGTTTATAGCGAACGGATCCTCATGTCACTTTATTATGTCAGTTAAGTCGAATACTGGGCGCTTTATGCTCATGACCGTGAAATTTCAAAATACACGGGACGAGAAGATTCACTTACCTAAAATATTTTATTTGCGTTTCATTGTTTATCCGCCTGTTACTAGCTAAAAATGTATACCGAGATGGAGCATCTGTCGAATATCTTGTAAAAGTTTACGATGGATTTTTGTACATCTCCTTCCCCATCTTTTGGTTTGTTTAGAAGTACGGGAGACCGCTGGGAGAACAACAAACGTAAATCTCTTCATTATCTACCTATAGCTTGAAAGGTTTCTTAACCTGCACTAGCATTGTGGACAAACATTTGAAGCAATGATTAAAAATAGAGTGAAACGTACAGCCTAAACACAGGTACGACTTACAGTGCTAAAGAATAGTTTGTCTAAGGGATAACCTGTTTTAGTATTGCCACTAAGCTGCCACACCTATATCTTTCATTACCTGCGATACATTAGTAACTGATTACGTTGCCTAGAAACAGGGTTTTACAGGCTACAAGGTAAGCAATGCACTCTTTATATATTATTGGCAGGAGAATGGTTTAAGGATCTTGAGTGGAAGATATGTTTTGAAGAAAAATCAGGCAAGAAAACGTAGACAAAGATAAGATTGAACGCTATTAGGGTTTTTTTTATCACAAAATAGATCAGAATTTAAAGGTAAAAAGTATAATTTCAATCATCGTTCAACGTTAAAGATTTAACTACAACTTAATGATTGGTTTAACCTCCCATTGAAAGCCGAGAACGATGAGTGTGCAACACCTGAGCAATGCGTGTACGTTAACAAAACCTTGTGTAGAAGATAGTCCGAAAAATGGAAAGGACAATGTCATCAAAATTTAGAGCAAGAAATTTTGATGCCTTATCATTATTCAGCACTTTACAAAATGCTATATAAACTAGAAGTTGTTTGCGCGAAAATTTGTATGGAAGGGGCTTAAAAAATGATTCCATGGCATTCAAAGTTTCGGCTTTCATTAGAAAGTGCCAATTTTCTTTTTTGTTCCGTGATTCCTTCTTATAATGGAATGAGTTTTTTAAAGTAGCAAACGGTTTCGAAAGCGAAAAATGTTCGTTGTTTTGAACACGATTACTCGGTAGGCTCCGGCATGTTAGTGTTGTAAATTTCAAGCAGGTAAATAGAGAGAGAAAGAGAGAGAGAAAGACTTAGATTGATATAATAGAAAGTAGTCCTACCTCAAACGATTGTGGCTTGTTCCATGCACCCCCGCACAAGCAACAGACACTGGATATCAACGATGTAAACGGAATATTCATTAGAGTTTATTCTTAAAGATACCCGGCGCAACAATGAATATATAATCTGATGTGATGATTTGAAGAAGAAGTCCAGCTACCAACGCGTGTACATTTCAATTATATGTTCTCTGAAATGCAAGCGGTATTAAAATGCATGAATAAATAACAGCATATTTATTATTATATTATTTTGCTGTGCGTGCAGTTCAATAAACTGTATAGCGCGTACATGTGTATAGGCAACCGCAGAGTGGCGGGCAGCCATAGTAAATGTAGATGAAAGAAAATTTCTCTATCTATCTATCTATCTATCTCTCGGTGTTAATGAAGCCATTATAAATATAGAAAAGTACCGACACTTAAAGAAATGTGTAATTGGAGTATTCAGTTAAGACCTTATATTACATATAGATATTCTGATAATATAATAGTGCCTCAGTGTGCTCAACATAATGCACGTATGCATGTAATTTCCTCTTCTATGTATATGTAGAGCAATTGGACGCACAGAATTCACATATATAATGAGATAAATAAAAACATACGCATGTAAATTTAAGCAACTTTGCATAAAGCACAAACGCACTTACTATGAAAATGAATTAATTATTAACAACAATGTTTTTCGCATTCATGGAACATAATCAATTTCTGCTGAAAACATATGTCATAAAGCACATGTTTTATTTACCTTGTTTTCACGTAATTGATTTATTGACTGTCATCTGTGTGACTTCATCGACTAAAAGTGTTTTAAAAATTCAACAAGACAGTCAGATTATGCAAAATATTTATAAAAAATGCAATTTAAAAATGAATTCATTTTTAAAAACACGAGTACATTGATGTCTTGTTTAAGTAAGTAAACATATACAATTATACATTTATGTACATAATCAGTTTTCTAATTCGCCGATTAGTGTTAAGTGGAAAATGCTGTTTCTTATAATTTATTAGAAAATATTCTTTCTTTGCTTTGTTGCAAAATTACTTTCTTGTCTGATCGTAAACACTATCATTACTTGATGATAACAGATTATTATACGAGAGTTTGCACTCATCGCGGTACGAGGTGGGTGCAGTCACTTGGTTTTTCAATCCAATTGACGAAACACTAATCAAATAAATGTGTTTTTGATTAGACTGAGATCTGCAGAATCGTTCATCTTAACGTGGTATTCTCTACTAACGTACCCGTTAATAACACAAATATGATTTTCTATTTATTTCATTTGTAAATCTTATCTTATCTTCATTTTCAATCCGTTTGAGTTTTCATGAAAGTTCTATCGAACAGCAAAAACAGTTCTCAAAACACAGGCCCGCCCCCGCCCCCCCCTCACCCCCAACCCACTCAGTAATCATCTGTAAAGAGAGAGAACAGTGGTTGAAATTGGGCGAAATCACTTGCCCTGTCAGTTACTATTAATATAGCCACCTAAGTAAATAGCTAGAAAACAAATCTACCGCACTTGAGAGGTGAACACACAACCTTCGAGTTGATCCTTTGCCTACTCGGCCACTTAAGCGGATTTGACGTTTATAACCGTAAATAGTTTGTAAATAAATGTTAACTAAAATTGCCAACTAATGTATACCATAATTTCGGACAAAGGATTTATATGCTTTGCATTGGCGATTGGAAAAACTATTCCTTTAGAGTTTTCTTGCATTTCGGCACTTAACGAGCATAATTTTCTTATCGGACTTTTTCGTTGCACCTAAATCAATTAAATTTTTCGATTATCTAAATATCTTCAAATAGTTTTCTTTTTTTTTTTTGCAAATTTTATTTTTCCAATGATTGCATTTTTTGTTATATTTTTTTTTTTTTCGTTTTTCTTTTGTGCTCACTAGACCAACATTTTCGAAGAAAGAAACAAAAAAAAGAAAAAAAAAAAAAAAGAAAGAAAAACAATTTAAAATATTAAATTAATATTAAATATTCATTTACTGTGAGCATGCGATGTTGTTTCTTCTCAACTACTACGATATCGTCATTATTGTCGGTAGAGGAGTAATTGCTACAATGGTTAACTAACAGCACGCATTTCGTGAGGATTTCTGATTGCTGAGCCCAACTCGAAGTGCATAGTAACACATAAACGCACATACATGTTAACATATTAATCTTGAACGATATTATTTTTATATACCAATGTGTAAATAATCCGTTTGAAAAAAGAAAAGTGTAATTTAATGCGGAGCGTAACGCTGATGTCGGTTGCTGACGGTGGGAGCGTTGTGGGGGGAGGGGGAGGGCATTACTGAAATTTGAGTTTGCTTTCGTTTGATCGTAAAAAGAAAGAAATAAACCCAGATTTTTTTTTTTTTTTTTTGCGTTCATTTAATAATTACAACATGAAAATTTATATGAGTGCGAGTTCTCTGCTAACACGTTTATTGCGTTGCAAGATAGTTTTTTTTTTTTTTTTTTTTTTTTTACATTTTTCTTCTAATCTTTTGTTTTCAATTTAGTGGTAAAGGCAATAAAACTCTGCTACAAGTTTACCCAGATAATTAGTCGACATTGAACCACAGAGTGAGTAGAATACTGGCAGTGCATACGTACGCGTACGCGTTTCATATCTCAAACTGGACATCCACGTCCAGGATTTATCGCAAAGTAAATATTTGGAGAAGTAGAGAGAACTATTCCTTTTATGAGTGCTTATAAAATAAGTAGATAGTGTGAGTGTTCTGTTGTGTAAGGTTACACTTCAAGTGTAGAATATGTTAAATCGCATGAAAACCATCCTAATGTATCTTTTGACGTTGCTGTTGTTGCTAGCCGGTCTGCAGCTTCAAATGATCTCTGCAGAAATAAGTTCACATTCAAAAGCATACGGTATAAATAGTTTACAAAAGCACAATCGACACCACCAACAACACCAACATGATAGCGGACTGTCTACGGACTCTTCCGCTACTTTAACTAAGTCTTCGATTCCCTCCTCCGCTAGCATTGTAAACACAGATTTTGTAAATAAAATGTCATGGACATGCATTAATAATGCCAGTTGCCTGTATACGCTGGCCAGCAGTCTGCTGAGTTCGTATCGGCGGGGAGAGGCGGTTCGACTAGGCTTATTTGATGTAGTGAAATTGCCGCCACCGAACTACAAAACCAAAGCCAAATGGTCAACTAACACAGCAACAGGTCGCAGTCTATCAACATTTGTGGATTTCATCAGCGGCAATGCTATCCGTATACCTGTTGGACCAGTTATGTTCAGTGTGCAACGAGCCGAAGATGATGCCGATTATATAGAAATCGCTCTACTGAAAAAAGCCACCATGAGTCAAGGTAGTTAATGATTGGCTTACAAATACCTGTTTTGTATATAGAATAAGAGCAAGTGAAACCGAACCCAAGTGGAATACAGAGGCAATTTTTTTTAGCATTCCGCTGACATTTTGGACATTAAATGTCCAAAAAAGGAAACATTCTTAACTGAATGTCATAGGGAAAGACATCAGTAAAACCAGTCAGAATGAAGTCAGATTACTATTTCCTCTGGTGCATCGTGGACGGCATGTGAAGCGATATAGAATTATATGTAAAGATGTCAAAATTGTCCCCCCCCAACGAAGTGTAATGCATATCTGGCATAGGTATATGTTTTCGAATAAAATTTTACGCATAACGAATTGTAATCTTGCGGTTTCCTCAAACACGTTTCACTGGATCTATGGAGATAAAAGTAAATGCATCCCATTATCTCTCTATTGTTTGCTTATTGGCATCCTAACAGCCGCAAATGTTGAGAAGGGAATACGGAATTTATTACACATTGTGTACGCATTGCGAACAATTCCATGGAACGGGGGCCACTTTTCTTTCAAAGTGGGAAAGCAAAATAAGTTTGCTTGGGCGGATAAAATATATAATTTTCGTAAGTCCACAGTAAATGGCAAACTTCACTACGCTACCGATTACTATAAATGATTTGAGGCTTTGTTATGGATAGTTATAGTTTTTAAATCTTTACTGAGCGGCTTTTTTTTTTTGTTGTGGTAAAGAAAGTTTGTACGGACCGCTTTGGAAATGCTTTTCAGAGACTTTCAAAAAAACAGAACGACTTCAAAATTCATACTATTGATGGATAACGACGTAAAATCCTTTCTGGTGAGGAGTCTTTGACATTTAGGTGTAACGTATTAAAAAGAAAAACGTATATAGAAAACAAAGTTAGATTCGGATCGCTTTGAAAGGGCTTTCTTTCAGTCGTCTCCCTTCATATTAGCAAGAAATAAAGCGACTATTGCAAGTTGTAAAGAACCCACTTTGCTTGGGTACGTCCGACAGCCGTATATGACAGAGATATGATTTTTTTAATTCGTTCGTATTATTAAGTAATTGAGCGTAAATCCATTGTATGACTGCTTGCTGAAATTGGGTAAGCGGGTAGATAGATAAGGAAATATTCACTTGTAATTAATGAGCATATGCGACATACATTCATTACTTAATACTTTCGGAATTTATAGCACGTTTGGGTGGCGACATTGGTGGTGGTGGTGGTGGTGGCGGCGGCGGCGGCGGCGGAGGTGGATTTTTGAAGAAAAGTAAAAGCAAGGACGAAGATAAAAAAGAAATGCAAATGTATATACCATTGTATCTGGCCGCCACCACATTTGGCTGGACGATGCTGGCAGTCAAAGCTGTCAGTGTATTAACGCTAAAGGCATTGACTCTCTCGAAAATCGCATTCGTAGTGGCTGCTTTAGTGCTCATTAAGAAACTAATGGACAACACATCCGATAAGTAAGCGTTGCGAAATTCCATTTTTAATGACATTGACAGGAAGAAAGACAAAAAAAAAAAAAAAAAAAAAGATAAGAAAAGAAAAGAAACAAGCACACAATTATGTATTAATTTACAGAATGGTGTACCATTATCCCGAACATGCGCCGTACATGATGCCTTACAGTATGGATTATAGCATGCATTCGATGCCTGCCGCCCCTGTTGAGATGGCTACGGCGGACATGTATTCAGCGGGCATGCCAATGCACGCTGCCGTTTCATCTTTGGGAAATCCTGGTGTTCAAGGTCATCCTGGCTTAGAGCATTTCTCCGCCGAGAGTAGCTTACATCCAATAAGTACTGACGTACACAATAATACACAAGTTTTAGCCGCTTTAAATGCTGTCGGACTGGGCCAACCAGCCGTTAAACGTACAGACTCATTGCTAGGCAGAAGTAAGTATTGATATTTATTAATATCACGCAAAGCGCTGGTGTATAGTTACATTTTTTGTTTTTTGCTCAGGAAGAAAAGTTGTGCCATTTAATATTTTAAAGTATTTTCCGATGTTGAGTCAGTTAGATTATAACGATGTTTATGGGAGAATTGCAGCAGCAGCTGCTGCTGACGTTGTATTAGAAGAACGTAAGCAATTGTTATGGGATGAAGACGAAGACGAGCAGGGCGACGACGATATATTTTATGAAGAAGAAAATTTTGAGGACTCTCTGCAATTCTTGGGGATAAATAAACGAAAAAAAAAAAAATTATTTTAAATTTGGATTTTTCCTTACTCGCAAACAAGAGAATGAGAAGTAGTACGTCAACCTCTTTCACACTAACGATGATGGCGTTAAAAGAGCTCAATTTTTCTAAAATCATGGTGATAAACACCGACCTATGTTTGTTGAAAATGATACTAATCTTGAAAAAGGATGCACTTGGCCCATAGAAACGACGAAAACCAATTTCCAAAATAAGTAAAATCTCTATTGTCGGACAAGGCCGTTTATTGAATACCCTACAAAGCTTCATGTGCTGCAAATGTTCATTTATTTGGAAAGTAGGCCTTGTTTCCATGTAAAGACATATTTTTCATAGGAAAAGGCCAAAAGGTGGACGCACGTCTCCAAATTTAGTAAAAGTAATTCTTTTTTCTCAAAAATTGCATTATCCTTTACCTCTTGTCGTTACAAAGTGTGAAAAACTAGACTTTGTTAGCTGACTCTCCGAAAGAGAGCTACATGGCCATATTGTGGACCAGCATTGATCATCAATTAGACCTTTTTGATATATAAAGGTTAACTCTTCTTTGTAACGGTTATATGGTAGTGTCTTCAAAAAAATGGCGTTATATAAAGTGTGATCGAGTCCATACCAGTTCTGATAGGATTGATCAAAAACATGTCCACGCATTGCAAATTTCGTCAAAAAACTCTTCAAACTGTCGACATATAGATAGAACTTAAGAAGACATTTTCTCATCTTTCCTTGCCCGAAAATTGCTATGTTTTCCTACTTTCTTGGTTCAAAAATTTCTAAAAAGTAAATCAAGTGTCATCACAATACATTATTTCATAGCTCGTGGTTCTTCCCTGCGGAGCGGTAATGCTTACCGAACGGTGATGGTTGCTTTAGAGAAACTGAAATTAAAAGAAGTTTACAGTTGATTCAATAAAAAACTTGGTAGTGCCTCTTCCCAATCCTATAATTTCTGATCAAAGAAATATATATGCTTTTCATAACAAATTTTTGAATTTAACGTATGCTCGCCATCAGGCCGTCAGGTCATCGGCCGGTGCTTTCGAATCAATCTACGACTGTGAACACTACAGTTTCAAGTGTAGACAGCTTGTAACGCATGCTATCGTTCATGAAGTTCACAGCATAACCGCCCTACGTGAGATGTTGTACGATATTTTGCAATTAAGTTATTTTAGAGCGTTCTGGGTAGTTGTTTAATCACTTGGTGAAGTCATGGCTGCCTACATGGCACTCTTGCTCCTCCATTGCCCAATTATCATTCATATTTCCGCCATCTTCTGGCATAGTCATGTTGTGTGACCAAATGTCCAGAATGAACGCGATTACTCCATCTTTAGGATAAAGTATTTTGCGGGTAAAGAACATTGCTGTCCTTTTACAAAACGAGGTGTAAAACGCGCTTGCTTTAGTTTTCCCGTGATGTTAAATAAATATTGGCATTAAAGAGAAAATCGTGAGGTGAACATTTCGCATTTCTTGTACTATGGACGGGTAGTTTGGTGTGTGATAGTAACAGGAAAGTAAATCCACGTCCAAAAATGCCAGCATAGATGACATTATACGCAATTAAGAGATATAAAGGGGCAGAGTTGAGTTTCATGCGCATTGTCAGTGGTAAGGACGAATATCGATTTATATACACATTTGATAAATGTCTTATTATAGTATATACAAAATGTACACTTTTCTCGACTTAGCTTTCGTGCTTTGTTACTCTACTCTAGCGACAAAAGTTTTTCTTCTATTTCGAGATCTTAAGGATACTAGAACTTGAAGCGAATCTTAAATAAACTGCTTTTCGTCTTTTATATAATTTATTTATTTTTTTTAAAGCCACCGCTGCCCGAAGACCAATAATTTATAATTATTTAAATCCGTATAAAACATGAGAAGCCGAAGGAAGAGGAAAAAGGACATACCGGGCCAATAATAAAAAAAAAAAAAATCAGTCAACAGTTTTAATAGTTTTTAGTGATAATTTTACCAAATAAGCGAAACGAACATCAATGGGAAAAGCCAAAAAAAAACATTATTTATTTATTTATTTATTTAGTTTAATTACAACCTAGAAGAAATGCGCACACTTTTAAACTTTAAACGAGTAGAAACCGAAATCTTTGAAAAAGAGATAGAGAGATAGAGAGGCACAAGCAAGCAAAATGTGCTAAAAACAAAAAAAAAAAGAAGAAAATCCGTATATAAAATAAAGAATACGAATTTTTTAACAAAGAAATTATTTTTAATATTTATTTCGTTTTCTAAATAAATAACTAACACTATAATAAATTATTATGAACAATTAAATCTAAATAAATAACAAATTTTTTTTTTTTTTTCCTATCTTACAATAGAAGATTTTATAACTTACGTTCTTGGAAAGAAAAGACATAATTAAGAGTTTTTTTTAGTATCACAGCAGAAAAAAGTTAAAAAAGAAGGAAAATTAAAAATATTTATATAAATATATATATATATATATATGTAGATGTATGTTATGCATGCATGTATGTATGTGAAAACCTAAACCGCTTTGTTTAACGCATCAGAAGAAATTTACGATTTTTGTTAGTGTAGAGATATTCATAACAACAATAAAAACAATAATTTAATTAGTTTAATTGAAATTTGAGAAAGGAATCGAAGAAAAAGTATTTGAAAATATTTTTTGATTTAAAAACCTATTCAATGTGTGTGTGTCCGTTTGCGCAAAGGATTCATATTACAATGTTTGTGGCTTTTGTGCAGCAAAAGCCAAATCTTGAGCCTCTTGCGCCAGTAGATGGCCTGGTACGTCAGCCATACCTTCAATGAAGCCATCCAGGGCTCGAGCCCAGCCTGAACTGTAACTGTCGTGATGTGGCACTTCAACAACATGTTTCTTTTGCGATAACAATTTCTTTAAGGCTATAATCACCGATAGCAGCAAAGCGATTTTGGAGACAATCAAAGCTTTGCCAGCCAATAGGAAAAGACCCTTCAATATGATTGCGCCTACTAAACCGGCCTTGCCAGCCATTAAGACTAGTAATGGTAGTATGTTTTTCGATTTGCCACGTCCCTCTTCTAACGCCTCTATCGGACTCACCGATACGCCAAGATTAAGATTACCCTTTGGCTCGCTGGAAACTACAAAGTCCGCATTGTCACTGAATTTGTAGCGTAACGTTCGCGAACGTAGGAATTTCCATAATTTATTAGCCACAATTAAGCCTAACGTCTCATCATCCGAATCTATGGAGCGTGCTAGCAGCAAATCATCTTCGGGATCATCTGGTATCTCTGACACATCTCTGCTTAGAATATTCGAAATGAAACGAAAAGAATTTTACATGAAATTGTTTTCTCTCTCACCTGTTTTGCGTTACTTTTATCTTGTCGTTGATGTCTATTGACGATTTCTTAAATATTCGATTCATATAGACAATCAACTTGAGCATCATACACGAATGATTGTCTCGTTGACTGCATTTGGTATTTAGCTTTCTAAGGAAACTCTCCTCCAATTGATTCCGATTGATTGCGGGTATCTGCAAACAATAAATCATTGGTAACAAAGAAATTAAAGGAAAAACTTGTTTCTGCGCGCGCGCAGTCGACTCGTAATAACATGAATTTTTTCGTAGTCCGATATAAGAAACATCACTCTTCACAAAGATATTATTTGCAGTTTGCGAAAACTTAAATTCAAAGCAAATAAGTAATTAGCTTGAATTGGCCTCTGTCTAATCTTATGCGTGGGCTACAACAATTGAAGAGACAATCGCTCTTCGGCTCATTATTACGGAAAAGGAGATTAAATGTTATTAGAGGGAGAGACAGATAGAGAGTGCCAGAGAGAGATTGTATATGTTTGCAAATGATTTCATGGTTACTTCCTTCTTCTTTAGAACTATCTATTAGAGCCATTATTATTACCATTAGTTTAGCCCGAGAAATAAATTCCAAGACTAAAGTCTTAGACCACGGGCATCTAAGGCCATCGGCTTAGAAGTAATTTTCGCTATTCTATATAGATTTTAATTTTAATTTGAAAAAGGTCTTCTTTCTTATTCTTTTACTATAACTTATACATCTATTTCGTAATTAAATTTGTCTATA